CAGGAAAATAAACTCTAACAGATAGTGATAAAGAGGGAGAACATTTTAGGCAGGAGAGATGGAATGTGTGAAAGCATATGTCGTGGAGACCTTAACTGCTGTAATTACTAAGCTCAAAAGTTTTTAATTATAATTGAGGGGAAAATAATTTTTTTTTAAAATGAGTAAGAACAGCTTTGAATAAAACTAGTTAATGCTAGTATTTTGAACTGTACCAAAAGACAGCTTCCAGGAAAAAAGGAAATGATAGATTCCCCTCTACTCTGCCCTGGTCAGACAGCATCTGGGATATTAGGTTCAGTTTCAGGTACCACAGTTTAGACAGGCCATTGATAATCTGGAGAGTGTCCAGCATGGTGAAGGGATTTGAGTACATATCATACAAAGATCAGCTAAAGGAAGGAATTGGGAATATTTAACCTAAAGAAAAGAAAACTTGGGGTATGTGGGAAGACATGAAATCTGTCTTCCGGTATTTGAAGGTACCTGAATTGAAATCCAGCCTCACACACTTCCTAGCTATGTGACCTTGGGCAAGTCACTTAATATCTGTTTGCCTCAGTTTCCTTCAGTGTAAAATGAGGATAATAATAACACCTACCTCGAAGGGATATTGTGAGAATCAAATAAGATACCTGTAAAGCACTTAGCACCATGCTTGCAATATAGTAGGTGCGATATAAATGTTTATTCTTTTTCTTTCCTTCCTTACCACGTGGAAAAGAGGTAAGATTTCGTCTGTTGGGCACCTGAGCAAAGAACTAGGAGCATTGAGTAAAAGCTAATAAGGCACAATTAGGTTTGATGTAAGGGAAAACTCTTGAACAAATACAGTTATACATAAGTGCTTCAAAGGGGCTACCACAAAGATGCTAAATGACCACTTAGCATGCAAGTTGTAAGTGTGGGATCCTTTTTTCTGGTGTAGGTTGAACTCTGAGGATTGCTGAGGTCCCTCAAACTCTAAAATTCTGCAATTCTGATCCCATTCCTATGACCCAAAAAGACCTACAGTTCCACAAATGTAGGAAATTAACCTCCTCCCTTATACCTGGAGAGGTAGACTTTTCCTGTCTATCTCTACAGTCTAAGAAGACAAGCATATCTGATTGCTCAAGGGTAAACACTACTACTACCTTTCCCCAGGTTACATTACCTATCTGATTGAAAGTATAAAGACATTGTTTACATTTACTTTTTTATCTATAGACATTCCAAACATTGCTACCTAGAGAGCTATCAGTTCATAAACCTAAATTCCCTCTCTAACAATTTGATGATAATTACTATTTACCATTTGATTACAAGAATGTGTTTCATCAGCAATTAACCAGTAGTTTCTATGCAGGTGCCAGTTCAGCTAGACAATGGGTCGCTGATTCACTGACATTTATTACTTTAGTGAGGTTTTTCAAATTGTACCTTTTGCTTAAAAGTCCTTAGAGAGGCTGTATATTTAAAAAGGACATCTGATTAAAATATTTAAAAACAAACAAACCTAGGCTCCATTTGAGGGGAAAGAATTATAATGCAATTCTATATTTATCCCTAACATATAAAAAGATACCCCAAATATGTAAGCAAATATAATCTTTGGTGAGAAAAGCACTATGGTTTCTGTCAGATGAAATTATGTCTGACATCACTGAGAGAGTAGGTAAGGGGAAACTACTGGATATGCTTTTATTGAGAGTTTCAAAAAGCTTTATTTTTTTTTTAGTTGAATCACCACAGATTTGAGAGAAGAGTTTTTTTGTTTTTTGTTTTTTTTAACAAGAATAAGAAAATGACTTACAGATAGGAAACAGAAAGTAAACATAAAAAAGGATTTTTCTGATCAGAGAAAGAAAATAGTGGAATCCATCAAGGATGGTCTGGGACTAGTCTATGGAACATTTTTGTATATCATACCAAAAGGAGAACACATAGTCAGCTATCCAAGTGTGCAAATGACACTAAGCTTTCGCAGATACTGAAGTGCTAAGCTGACAAGAATAAAACAGCAGAATGACCTTATACAATGCTAAATACACTAAGAAAATGGCGGCTGAGTTTCAGTTCAGGCCTGTGTTTAGAGATTATTTTCTTATATTATGTTATATTATATTGTTCTGTTCTGTTCTGTTCTGTTGTGTTGTGTTGTGTTGTATTGTGATGTGATGTGTTATGTTATGTTACAGTCTTACATCTGATATTCATAACATAAAGCTATCTGTCCCATTATGGTTGAAAATAAATATAGTTCCAAAAAAAGGTTCAGGTCATGAGCCATGATACAGTCATGATCAGTCAACAGCTTCATGATTCAGTGGAATTAAGTACAGTATTTGTAGTTGGAGGAGTAAAGCATTTTTTAAATACTAGCTCATTTGATCTTCACAACAATACTGATATCTAAAGTGCTATTATTATCCCCATTTTTACAGATGAGGAAACTGAGGCAAATAATAGTTAAGTGACTTGCCCAGGGTCACATAGCTAGTAAGTGTCTGAGACTATATTTGAATTCGGTTTTTCCTGACTCCAGGTCCAGCATTCTATCTATTGTACCACCTACCTGTCACTTCACCCTTCTGAGTCTCAGTTTCCTCATATGTAAAATAAGTAGATTGAAGGAGATGTCCTCTAAGGTCCCTTCCAGGATTCAACCTATGCTTCTATAAGCCTAATGCTGGTAATTATCAGGAAAAGAATTAGAAAGATCAAAAGAGAAGACATCATTCCGCCATTGTACAAAATCATGGTAAAGCTGAATATGAATACCGACTACAGCTCTGCCTAACATTCCCCAAGAAAAAATGGATTTGGAGAAGGCCAAGCGAAAAGCAACTAAAGTGGTCAAGAATCTATAGGTGCTTCTATGTGAGATCAGACTAACTAAAAACTAGGTTCCTCAATCTGGAAAGAAACTAAGAGGAAACCATAGAATCATAGGATTACTTAACCTTTGTAAGCCTCAGTCAACCCTAGAAGAATTATCTGACTTCTTCCCTGAAGAAATCATCGATCCTTTATGTACTGAAATAGTTGCTGTTGTTTAGTCATTTCAGTCATGTCTGGCTCTTCGTGAACTCTTTTGGGGTTTTCGTGGCAAAGATACTGCAGTGGTTTGCCATTTCCTCCTCCAGCTCATTTTACAGATGAGGAAACTGAGGCAGGCAGAGTTAAGTGACTTGCCCAGGATGACATGGCTAGGAAGTGTCTGAGGCCAGATCTGAACTCAGAAAGAGGTATCTACTTGACTCCAAGGTTGGAGCTCTATCCACTCTGCCACCTAGCTGCCCAATTCATTGGAATTATACTTTATTTAAAAGATAGTTCTCTCACTCAAAAGCACCTGATTTGAAAGTTTTGTGACTTCTATGTATGAATCCAAAAGGTATTATCCCTTATTAAGTCGGCAGATTTGAAAACTTTTATCAGATTACTGTTACTAAGTGCTTCTGCTCTTATGCTAAAAGAAAATCCTCTTACAGACTCATTTCTTCAGATAAGAAGTGAAGTATGTAACACAGAACACTAAGATATCTGAGCTCATTTGAACTCCATAAAAAATTAAAATGAATCTCATCCATGTACAAGCAATTCCCAGCTTAAAATTCAGGTTCTATTCTAAAAGCTCAATTGTAAATGGATCGTTTAGGACTGAGAGTACATTATCTGAAGAAACAATGCTACATACATTACCAGTGATCTCTTAATTCCAAATCTAATAGTCTTTTCTCAATCCTCATCCTTCTTGCCCTGTCTAAAGTCTTTGACAGGGCTGGTCACCATCTCCTCCTGTTCCCTTAGGGTTTTCTTGACTCATATCTCTCCTCATTCTCCTCCTATCTGTCTGACCACTCCCAGTCATCAGTCTCATTTTCTAACCCCCACCTTTTCCTCCACCATAAAGCCCTGGACTTTTCTCCTAGAACCACCTTGGGCTCTGATAGGCTGATAGGCAAGCTATCATTTAATCTTATGCAGAACCAGATTACCAACTCACAACTATATCCAAATCATGCCATGGGAATGTCTCCTCCTTTCCAACTTCTTTTTATGTACTTTTCCCCCCATTAGAACATAAGCTCCCATGGAGCAGGAATTGCCTTACATTTCTTAAATATGTATCCCAAATGCTTAGCACAGTGCTTGGCATATAGTAAGCACTTAATAAATGTTTTATGCACTCATTTATTTACCTATCTATATTTTTAAAAGTGTGGGGACCACTGCTGCAGGTTAACTACTGTGCTAATAATCCTAGCCTGAGAACTAACAGTGGAGAGCACAGGAAGGGGAGGAGAAGGAGGAAGACGACTCATTTCCTGAGTTTTAATGTTTGTCCTATACTTTTCCAACTACATTTCTTTCTCTTACCTCCCACCACCACTCTCCTTGGGTACCCAAGTACCTTGACAATGCACTAACCACCTGGTATGTCTTCTCTGCTAATCAAAATTCCCATTCCTTCAGTACAAACAGGTATTAGGTGGAAAACAATCCAACTTAATTAATTCATGATAATGAATGAATGTATATTACAGCTCTCTAATGATATCTGTATTATCAAAAGGAGACATTTGTTAGCACAGATAAACTTCTAATTTTTTTTAAATTTAAGATTATGGAACAAAGTAAAGTGAAAATATTCAGGAAAAGTGAGGGAATGATAGTCAGAGGAAAGAGACTACCACATCTAGGAGCAAGCAGTCCCTGATTTTCATGGATTCTTCCCTACCTCCACTTATGAACTAATCTGATATGGTGATGGGGCCATAGGCTAGAACCCAGAATAGGTGAGGGATTCAGAGCAGAGGTTTAATACATGGGTCATTTGTAAGGTGGGCATTTATAAGTCAGCAACTAAGTGAATTAAGTCTTGCTTCACTTAAACAAGTTTTCCCAAATCTTGATTCTTCATTACTTATAAATAATTTGTTTTTCAAATTTCATTTGATGCTAACACCACTATTAGCTTCTTAGTAAATATTAGGTTCATTCTTTTTACTCACTTATGGCAAGAATGAGTTCTCTCCTCTGGGCAAAACCAATGAGCCTCTCTGAGTCTTTGGAAACCACCACTGGGAAGCCATTATAATCTGTCTCTTTAATCAGCGTCTCCACATCTTCCACCGTCATGCTATCTTGGGTGAGCACGGAAAGTGGCGGCTCCCCACGCCTGGGCCTCATGACATCAGTTGCCAGTGTCCTGTGAGTGAACTCATCCTTCACATCTAGAAATGGGTAACCATTTAAGTGGATGTGTGCCTCATAGATTCCTTCTTTTCCAAATGCATCTGCTACCCACTTGCTCGTCACAGCTGCTGCCATTAGTGGTACAATGTACTCCAGACCTCCTGTTAACTCAAACATGATCACCACCAACGAAACAGTCATTCGGGTAACTCCACCTGCAAAGAAAAGAAAAACTAGTCAGGCTCCAAGGTTTCAAAGGATCTGCAGCCAAAAGAGACGTGGGCTTGTCTAGACAATCTCCTTCATTTTGTACATGAGAAGACTAAGAACCTGAAAAGTTGTGATGGTTCTCAATATCACGTAGTTAATAACAAAAGAGCCAGGATTCAAATGCAGATTGTCTGACTCCAAATACATATTATGTTTCCACCATATTATGTTGCCTCAACTTCGATTCCCATACTAACACAAAGGCATGGATTGTGCAGCAATCTACAAAAATTATATATACTAGAAGGCAACATAGCATAGAGGATAGAATTGTGAACTTGAATGCAGGAAGACCCAGGTTTAAATCTTGTCCATTATTTACTAGATTTCCTTATTTGTAAATTGGGAATAATAATATCTTTAACTATTATTTCATGAGGTTATCGTGAAGGTGAAATGAGATTAGGTATAAAAAGCGCTTTGTAAACTAAAATGCAATATTGCTGTTCTTCAGTCGTTTCAGTTGTGTCTGACTCTCTGTGACTCCATTTGGGATTTTCTTGGCAGACACTGTAGTGGTTTTGCCATTTCTTTCTCCAGCTCGTTTTACAGATGAGGAAACTAAGGCAAACAGGGTTAAGTGACTTGCCCGGGATCACACAGCTAGTCAGGCTCTGAGGCCAGACTTGAACTCAGGAAAATGACTCTGCCTGACTCCAGGCCCGGCACTCTATCTAATATGCCACCTAGCAGCCTGAAAATGCAATATAAATAATCAGTCATTATTACAATATATAACAAAGTCCTGCCCAATTCTCCGATCCAGGGCTTCCAGTTTAAAGGAGAAATAAGTTATCTCAAATTGAGTCACTGAACTCACTCTTTACCATTCATCTACAGATCATCTGTGTGGTTGAGGCACTGTCCCCCGGAGAAACCATCCACAAAGACTGATCGCCTCACTGATTGTTTTTGACGTATGAATTATAAAAGTTTCTGATTTAACAAATTGGAGTTCATCCCTCCATATCTGGAATAAGCTGAGTAATGTTACTGACCACAATATATCCATCCACCCCCATCTACCTAACCCACCTGGACACCTGGACCAGAAATTACATTCCTTGGCATTCCTAAAGAGATTGAGATTATTAGTCATTTAATGTAAGGATACTTCAGTGCTACCATAGGCTACCAGTCCTAAGAATTTATAGTATATTAATTAACCAAATATTGTACAATTTATAACACTGCCACAGTTGGCATACTAGAGAAGAAATTCCTGTCTTGGTATCTCCAGTCACTGTCATTGTCAGAAAAGGTATCTCCAGTCAATAGTCAGTTGGAAGAATGACCCATCTGCCCACAGTAAAATGAGACCATCCTCCATGATTGGTTTCAAAGCAAAATAATGAGAATTCATGAAAAATGTCTAAATTCACTTTAAAATGTTGTTATACAAGACTGTCTTGTTTCGATGTGAGAGGATTTCATGAAGGGATTCATTTATTGTTTGTTCTTCATTTTTGAATTCACTTACTATCCTAAAGCTTATAGCTCATACAGTTCAACAGGCAGGACTATGAATCAATACTCATGACATTTAAACCAGATTCACCAGGAATTTCTTAAATTACTCTTGCATTTCAATTCTATTCTGTACATATGTATTGGAACCTCGCTATCAGGTCATGGTTTTATACCTGGAAGGGACCATCTAATGCAACCCTTTCATTTTACAGATGAGAAAATTGAGACTCATAGAGGTAAGGAGACTTGCACAAGGGCACCCAGGTACTAAGTGGCAAAGCCAAGATCTGAAACCAGCTCCTCTGACTCCAAATCCAGCTTTCTTTCCACTGTATGACACTTTCTTATTAAGTGTTTGCTTTTGTGCAAGGTATTAAACTTAGTCCTAGGAATACAAAAATGAAATGACAGGCCCTGCCTTAAAGCACTTATAATCTAATTGGGAAGACAAAGGACAAGACATGTTCACGACTCTCTATTGAGAGAAGTCAGAATATGGCTAAGTATACAAGAGATACCAGGGTGGTGGGAGAGATTCAAGAAGGAAAGGTTCCCTTCCAGCAAAAGGGAGGAGAGGAGGAAAGCAGGGAAGGTTTCACAAAACAGATAAACCTGAGTTATGCCTTGAAGGAAGAAACAGATTTCAATAGGAGATGTAGGGGAGGTCCATCCTAGGCAATGTAGCCAGTGCATAAAAATGCAAAGAGGTAAAAGACGTGAAGACAAAACTTCTTTCTTTTGTTGTTTTTCAGTCATGTCTGACTCTTTGTGACCCCATTTGGGGTTTTCCTGGCAAAGATAGTAGAGTGGTCTGCTATTTCTTTCACCAGCCCATTTTATAGAAGAGGATACTGAGGCAAACAGGGTTAAGTGACTTGCCCAGGGTCACATAGCTGGCAAGTATCTGAGGGCCAGATCTGAACTCAGGAAGATGAGTCTTCCTGACTCCAGGTTCGGCATTCTATCTACTGCACCACCTACCTGCCCCAAGACAAAATTATGAAATGGCAAATAATCTCAAACTGAGTCACTGAACTCACTCTTCACCATTCATCTACAGATCATCTGTGTGGTTCAGGCACTGTCCGCCTGAGAAACCGTCCACAAAGACTGATCACCTCACTGATTGTTTTTGATGTATGAATTATAAAAGTTTCTGATTTAACAAATTGGAGTTCATCCCTCCATATCTGGAATAAGCTAAGTAATGTTACTGACCACAATATATTCATCCACCCCCATCTACCTAACCCACCTGGACACCTGGACCAGAAATTATGTTCCTTGGCATTCCTAAAGAGATTGAGATTATTAGTCATTTAATGTAAGGATACTGATAAACCCTTAATAGATTTCAGTGCCACCATAGGCTACCAGTCCTAAGAATTTACAGTATATTAATTAACCAAATATCGTACAATTTATAACGCTGCCACAGTTGGCATACTAGAGAAGAAATTCCTGCCTTGGTATCTCCAGTCAGAGAATGAAATAAGTATAGAAAGGCAGGCTGGAGCTGTGGACAGCTCTGAATGAAAAGCTAAGAAATTTATAATTTATCACTTAGTAAATTAGCTTGGTGACTTATATTGTGGGCAGATCATTAGCACTATTGGTATATCCCCATGAAGATGTCATATGACCAGTTGGAAGTTTGGGACTAGACTTCAGGGGACAGAAGATACATATATATATGTGTGTGTATATGTGTATATGTATATATGTGTATATATGTATATATGTGTATACATATGTGTGTGTGTGTATATATATATATATAAAAGTATAGAGCTTTAGGAGTCATCTATGTCACTGTTTAGTCATTTTCAATCATTTCTGACTCTTCATGAACCCTTTTGGGGTTTTCTTAGCAAAGATACTAGAGTGGTTTGCCATTTCCTTCTCCAGCTCATTTTACAGATGAGGAAACTGAGGCAAACAGGATTAAGTGGCTTGCCCAGGGTCAGACAGTTACTAAGTGTCTGAGACTGGATTTGAACTCAGGTCTTCTTGACTCTAGGCCTGATATTCCATCCACTGGGCAACCTAGCTGCCCCTGGGAGTCATCATATAAGTCAATAATTGAGAGTTACCAAAGAAGCAAGCATAAAGAGAAAAGAGGCTTTAGTGAATAATTTGTTTTAACCACACAAGCTTGTGGATTGCCAAATCAGAAAATCAGGGATAACATTCCACAGTGTGAATAATATCACTATCAATGAGGATGAGTATATGTTAAAAACTTGGCATCCAAACAAGAGGCACTGTCCTTTATCTACAGCTAGAAAAGATAAATCTAGATAAGTCTCACTCACCTCACCCTACCTCGAACCCAAAAAAAAAAAAAAAGACAAAATATCATTCCTTTGAAGGACAGCCATAGCCTCATTTCAGCATCTCTAATGGGATTATAAAATCAGATACAGAGCCAAGTTTAAAGCCCTACTGTCCTCATTCCCAGACCAGTTAACAAAAAAGCTTAAGAAGGTTATGCTCTGTCCCAGAGCAGCATTAATATTTTCTACCTCTCCAAGGTACTAAGCCAGATCATCTCTGCATCTTATGTCACAATTGGGCCTTTTAGGGAAGTCTCTGTGGAAAATTCGTGCCTTGAAAACCTTTGAAGACTGGCCCACTTTTATATTTGGTGAAACAAAAGAAGAATAAGAATGACAGTTTAGAACAGCAAAGCCTAAATGTCTGAGACCCTACAATTCCTAGCCAACTCTCATTTTTAAAATAAAGTACATAAGATCAACATGAGCGTAAAGAACGATCGAATAACATTGCTCCTCCTACACCACAAAGAACATACCTAGGCAGGCTGCAGCTCCCACCATTGCATAAAGTCCAGGAGTGACACAGTCTGCTCCAGGTCTGCACCAGTTCCTGAAGATGATCCAGTCATGGTGGTGGTAAGCCAGCTGTTCCACTCCTACCCCCACCATTCTGCCCGCCATGGCTCCCACAGCCATACTGGGAATGAAAAGGCCTGAAGGGATCTCCAATGAAACACAGAAAACAAAAGCATTAAGGCATAAGGGCTGGAAATGTCCCATATACCCCAGAGAATTTTTAATACTCAGGAGTGTGCTGTACTCAGCTCCAACCAGCTCAAGCTACAAATCACAGTTTGATTTTTTTATTTTATGGATTATCTGGATTTAAGAAAGTGACAGAAAAAATGTTAATAGCACAGATTAAACCTAAAAGTATATCCTACACATCGTCCCCCTCAATCTGGTCGTTAAACATTTAGGAGCACACCCCTCGTAACAACCAAACTATCTCAAGGTTATAATTAGGAGGAAGTATAATTCCAACTTTCTTCTTCTTAATCCTAGGCAGTTCCTTCTTACAAAAGACAGACAAAGACAGAGACTAGAGAGATAAGAGATAGGCAAAGAGACTAGAGACAGAGAGAGGCAGAGATAGAGTGAAACAGACAGAGAGAGAGAGAGAGAATATAATAGAAGAAGAGAAAGAGAAAGAGACATAGGCAATGTTTTGTTAATCAATATAAAAAGTGCTAAACAATTTTCAGCTTGTTAAATCAGTTATGTAATATTAGCCACAATTCCCATTTATGAACTAAATGACCTTTGGAATCCTTTTCAGCTCTAGATCTAAGAGATAATAATAATAATATAACCAAGAAGTATTTATTAAGCACCTACCATCTGCCAGGTACTCTGCTAGCTGTTAAGGACACACAGACAAAATTGAAATAGTTCCTATCCTGAAGGAGTTTACAGATGCATACGAAACATATAAAAAGTAAAAATAAAGTGATTTCAGAGGGAAGGCACTAGCAGCTGAGGAAATCAAGAATGGCCTTTAATTGAGCTTTGAAGGAAGTTAGGGATTCTAGGGGAGGAGATGAAGAAGGATAGAGTGTATACCACGCATATAGAATGTACTTCAAGGTTTGCTATGAGTTTTCCTAGAAATAACCATGTGAAATGTAAGATATATATGCATATTCATATAAAATATATATATATTATATAATATGTGTGTATATATGTATATATATACATATGTAAATATCTTCTGCGTTTCACAGATGAGGGAACAGAGATTCAAAGACTATCTCCTCTAACATCACCCAGCTAGTGAGTGGCAGAGCCAGGACTCAAAGTGAGTTTCTTAGATCCCAAGTCCAATGCCTTTTCCATTATAACTGATTTCTAATACTTTCAAAATGTACTACACAGCCCACTATTACCTTGAAAGAAGAGATTTTCACTTTCATTTCCTCTTCTTCAATATCTCTGATTTGCTTGTTAGGGATTACAGAAGTGATAAACCCAACTGCAAATAACATGTAGAAATGAGCCTCTGCCATAAAAGATTTTCTGCTGCTTTATCTCTCTCCTTTCTATGTCATTTAGAATGAATTTTAAAATTAAATGGCAAGCACAGCATGGAAAAGGACAAAGGGGGGGTACTGACTGCTCACAGGTGAAACTCAACCTTCTTCTCAGCAGCCTCCCATCTTCCAAAATACTTTAAAAATACTAATTCTCTTTAATACACAGTCACTTAGCTTTAATTAAAAGAAAGTCCTAATTGCTCCAGCCTGTCAATTTTTCCTACAAAATTCTGAACATTTTAGAGATGGCGTTGCAAGAAACAAATGTGCTGTATAAGCAAAAGGAACTATGGGAATTTTTTTTATTACCTGGGGTTGGGGGGTTGCAAAATGCCAGTTATCACTGTAATCTTGAATGATTTGGTTTTTTTATAAAATTCAAAAATACTTACAAGATAATTTATTATTGATATTTTAAGGTATTGTAAAATATCACAGATTCTATCCTCAGTTGTTTTTCTTTAAATTTTGAGATTGCTTTTGACTTTTGCTCATGAAGCATCTTTTTCATTATTCCTCTTCCTGATCTCAATCAGTGCACTACAAAAATAAACAGGTCTTAGAGCTAAAAGCAGCTATCTTTGACTCCTTATCTCTGATCCTTAAAGCTGGGGGCACTTTGGAGGAAATGATGTCCTTTATGGGGGTTCACCTTGCTCTGTGTTCATTTCATCCCAGGCAAGTCAAAAAGAAGGTTAGAATCCTCTCTCAGAGAGCATCTCTTCAAAAGGCATGCTATCATTCTTACACAGAAGTGTAAGAAATGAGTCCCTTGGATATGAGATGATCAATCCTCTGAAAACCTTCAGTCAGCCATTTAATCAAACGTACTAACCTTCAAAAAACAAAAAAAAATCAGGTTCTTGTTTGACTTTCACACACACCCAGATAAACCTGATTTTTTTTTTTTTTGCCAAAAAGAAACAATGCATAAAAATAGACTTGAAAGGGAGTGATAAAACTCAATTCCATTGTCTGAGAGAAGAAGAAAGATCCTTTCACTAAGCTGGTCTCTTTGTGGAACTGTAGTTAGAAGTTCACTCAGGGCAAATTTTAACAAAAGGGCTCTGAAAAACAGAAACTGTTTTCTTTGGTTTTGTTTAACAGGAACAACTAAAATGTATTCTCTGGGGACAGTTGCTGCAAACCCCCATGCTCTCTAGGGATCCCTGCCTGACAGGAAGTAACTTAGAACAAGCTCCCTAAATATAGCCCTTTCCTACATTAAGAGTTTTAATTCATTAGCTTTTGGCTGTGGTGAGGCATGGAAGAGTAAGAAGATTTAAAATAACAACAACACTCTAAACCTACATCCCAAAAAGATGAAAGAAAGAAGAAGAGGAACCATATGTACAAAAATATTTATAGCAGCTCTTTTTGTAGTGGCAAAGAAAAAGTGGAAACGAAGGGGCTGCTTCTTAATTAGGGAATGGTTGAACAAATTATGGTACATGACTGTAATAGAATACTATTGTGTTATAAGAAATAATGAAAGGGATGGTTTTAGGGAAACCTGAGAAGACTTGTATGAGCAGATTCAGGGTGAAATGAGCAGAACCAGGAACAACACTGTAAAAATTTTGAAAGATTTAAGAGCTCTAATCACTACAGTAACCATTCTTTATTCTAGAGGACTTATGATGAAGCATGATGATTTACCACCTCCAGACAGTGATGTGACAAACTCAAGGTACAGAAAGAAATATCTATTTCTTGGACATGGCCAATGCAAGAATTTGTTTTACTTGATTGTAAGTATTTATTGCCAGGGCTTTTTCTTCTCCCTCTTCCCCCAAAACCTTCCTTCCCACTCCTTCTGGTGGGGAAGAGTAGATAGAAGGTAGTACCAGCAGCTAGAAAGACTGGAATGGGTCAATGTATATACTGTAAAGAGTGTGAGACTTTGAGTGGCTCTTACCTTGACTGGTTTATTCAGAGATTATACAGGTTGTACCAACTGGAAAAAAGGCTTGGAACATCAGATGGCTAAGGAATTGTATTATGCACTGTGTTTTTGTCATAGTAGGACAAGCCTAGCTAAGTTTAGAGAGGTCCATCACCAAAAGGTTGGCCATTAGGTGAGGAATTTTTTTCAACTAGACCCACTGAACTTGAAGTCAGGAAGACCTAGGTCAGAAGCCAGTCTCAGCTACTTACTAGCTTCTTGACCCTGGGCAAACCACTGAATCTCTCGGGGTCTCAGCTACACTATCTGTAAAACAAAGTGGGTTGAATTGGATGACCTCAAAGGTCCTTTGTAGTTCCTAGTGAGAGAGATACAATTATTATCACCTTTTGACAGATTATGAGACTGAGTCCAAGAGGTTATTTACCCAAGGGACTGAGTCCAAAAGATTACTGGCCCAAGGTCACACAGCTAGCATGTGTCTGATGTAGGATTCTAACCCAGGTCTTCCTGATTCCAAGTCTATCAATCTATCTACGCTGCTGCTATGAGGATCAAATAAGATAATATATGTAAAGCACTCTGGAAACCATAATGCCTTATAGAAAATTGAGATATTATCTATCATCTCATTTTTAATTTTTTGAGTGGGCTCAAATAAAGATGGCCCTATGAAAAGTCACTATCCTTTTTATTACTTAATGTTCAGAATGAAAGTAAAAGGTAGGACCCATGGCCTCTATGGGCTCTTCCATTTCTAAATGTATAATCCTATAACCCCATGACTATTTTTTGTAATTAAATAAGACTATCGAGATATAAACTCATTTTCTGTGGACTCACTGAAAGCATCATTGAGACAACTCCAGTAGGAAACATAACAAGGATGGCATAACTTGTCTCACCCAAGGCTTTAATTTCTTCCTATAGGTCTCTCTATTTTGAAAGTTCTTCATTCTATGTAATTTGGAGATGATAAGTATTCAATATGGCAAAATCCATTAAAATATTCTCCAATTTTTATGGATCAATATCATATCTAGATGATTATGGACAACAGTTAATTACTGTGAGGCTGCTGCTGCTGAGACCATGTCTTCACCCTCTTCCTGGGGGAGTTTATCCACCCAAATCTGGCATTCCATCCTAGGCCTGAGCTATTCTGTTTGGTTGGTTAGGTGAGCAAAAACTCACCTAACTACATCTAGCCAACCATGATCCCTACTTCACAACCCATCCAGTTATTCAACAGGAAACCAGGTCCTATCCAGCACAAGTATTTTACTATCCCTGCCACTACATAGAATTAGAGTTTATAATCCCCACAATCCAGTAAAATATAAGTTATTTGACAGCAGGAAAACTGTTTCTTCTTTATTTTTATATCTACAACATAGCATAATGCCTGGCAAACAGCAAGCATACACTAAATGTTTTTTTTTTTTAATTGCATAGAATATAATCATGTCAGCATTGACCTTTTGCTAGGGTCTTGCTGACAGAATTGGCTCCATGTTTGACCACTGATTGACCTGCCTGTATTCTAGGAAGTTCCTAGGTACCCAAAAACTAGCTTGTTTAGCTCCATTTAGAGTAAGGAATGCAAGGTCAGCAAACTATCAGTTTAGCAAATTTATCTAATCCAGGTGTGTAAAACAGCAAACTTTACTAATCACAGTATCCTGGTGGCTGATAAGGTGAGTCACGATCCAGACCACCCATTGATTGACTAGAGTTAAGGTCTCCCAACCCACCCAGTCCCTGTGAATCTACCCAATAACAACAATTACATATAAGGGCAGAAATCCAGGCGATCTGGGACAATGTACACCTGAACCACCATGGTCACTGTGTGCCCTCCAGGAGGGTCACACACACGTGTGATTGACAAAATGCCTTATTTGTGATCATTTGAGCACTTATGTTCCTTCTCAGTATATCTCCTCACCACGATTTCCTCACAAACCATGAAATCATGCAATACATTAGAACTGGAAAAGACTTAAAAGATCAAATCCAGTCCCCTCATCTTTACAAAGGAGTATACCACCGCCCTGAAAGGTTAAGTGACCTTGACTAAGCAAACAGAGGAAATTAATGAAGAGTTTTCAACAGAAGCCAATATTTTCTTTATTATTATTTGAGGTGGTAAAGAGATTGTAATAGATGTCTTCTAAGGTTTTCTATAACTCTAAGATTCTATTATTTTATGACTCAAATTGCTGCCTATATTACTGGGAGTTTGGGGAAAATTTGTAAGAGTTTTCCTCAAGTAATAGATTGGATGATGGGGAGCTGTTGGGTTTTTTTTGTTTTTTTTTTTACCAAGTGTTCCAAGACTTGGATTCTTCTCTTTTTCTAATGGTGGCCATAACCCACTAATACCATCATTCTAAATCTTGTATAATTTGGGCTTTCCTCTCACAAGAAATATCTATGTTGCTTTTGAAAGTATAGTTCAGCGGCTAATGATGTACATTCACCAAGAGATAAGCTAAGATAAATACACAGTCTAGTTCCTTCTACCTGGTACCACTGTCAATCAGTGGTTGCCCCAGTTTCTAATTATGTTTCTTTTTTTCCCCTCTATATTAAGCAGTTGACCCAGACATTTCAGGTTGGTCACTATCTGTCTTCCTTCTTCCTTACCTTCATGCCAAAAGTAAATATTGTAATGATGATTTTGAAGATGAGGGCTAAAGCCAGCTGCCACATTGCAGTGTAAACCCCAGGCCCAGCTGGTCTATCAGGAATGTCATCAACAGGCCTGGTCATATTTGGGTCATTGATGTAATCACAGAGCTGAGAAGACTCCAAGGCTCCACAATCATTGAACAGCTCAGAGATGAGCTCACTGGTGCTCTGTCGAGTATATGGATTAGGGTAGGCAATTATGGCGGTGATGGCTGTCACCACTATGACCTCCAACACAGGATACTTTCCTAGCTGTGTGGTCTTCCGTCTTCTACACCAGGCAATGTTACAGCGAATAAAAAGGGTCCCCCAGAGACCTCCAAAGACACCAAGTAGGATGAAGGGGAAAAGTTCAGCCATGTACCAGGGTGTGTGGTATTCCACATAAAAGAGAACCAGACGACTATTCCCAAAGGGATTGATGGACCTCAGTGTAAAAGCAGCCACCAGGGCAGCAAAAAAAGACCTCCAGAGAGTTTTTAAGGGAAAGTAGTAACTGACCTGAAACAAATAAACAGAGATAATTAGAGGTTGGCCAGGAAAAAGGTAAAATTTGCATCTCAGGCCAATATGCATGACAATAAGGTTGAAAGGACTCTAGATTAGAATCATGACAAGTATGCCTACATCTTTCACAAAGTGGCTGTTACCACAGGCAAAAAATTATTATTATAGATAATATTATATGATATATGACACATAGATATTACAGATAATAAATATTATTAGAGATAATAATTATTATAGATAATATTGTGTTATATATAATATTATATGTATTATAGATAATAAATGTTATTATTATAAATAATAATAACTTACATTTATTCAGTTGTTACTGTTCAGTCATTTCAGTAATGTACAACTCTTTGTGATCCCATTTGGGATTTTCTTGGCAAAGATACTAGAGTGGTTTGCCATTTCCTTCTCTAGCTCATTGATGAGGAAACTGAGGCAAACAAGGTTAAGTAACTTGCCCAGGCTCACACAGCTGGTAAGTGTCTGAGGCCAGATTTGAACTCAGATGACTCCAGACTTTGAATTCTATTATTGCGCCACCTAGCTATCCACATTTATTCAGCACTTTGAGGAAATAATTTTACCTCTCTTGGACTCAGTTTCCTCCTGAACAGGGTGGACGAAGTGATCACTAGAGTCTCCCAAATTCTAACATCTTGTGGTTTATCCTAGTATTTACATTCAGGTGCTTATCACTCAAAACAATGTTATAAGCCCCAAACACAACAGCTAACTCACTCATTTAATTTTAGATGTAAGATGCATCAACAAAAACATTTAAATGAACTTAACCAAATCTGAAATTATAATCAGAAGCTTTTATTTAGTTGCTAAGTTCTGTTTTGTTTTTAATTTGATTCACTACTGTTTTGAAAAGATAGGGATAAAAGGGAAAGCCACAACCACTGTTTAGTCATGGTGCAATATGGCCCCTAGTATGAAAGCAATCCCCCAGGACTTACTATAAGAGTAAAAAAAAGAAAGACTTAAATCCCAAGAAAAGACTTCATTATGGATAAAGGAGGATTGTTGTTTTTTCTTCAAGTGAACCCTTATACAATAGCAAAAACAAATTCTTAAAATCGAAAAAGATACAAGCTGGTTGATGACCTACAACTAACTTCTGCATAATTTTCCTTAAATTTAAGCCTAGGAAATTCAGAAGTACATTCTATTGCTTCAACATTCATCAAAACATTTCTTGACAACACCCAAACCACCCTTCTGTCCACCCTCACCCAAAACCATTAGTCCTCTAAATTGTTTATTCTCACCTCTTCAAGACTGAAAAGTACACCTCCAATGGGAGCACCAAAGGCAACAGAGACCCCAGCAGCAGCTGCCGCTGAAAGTACCTACAATACAAATATTTACATATAAGTGCCAAGATCCTCAGTGAAACAGTGTGAAAGAGGGAGAGTCAGCTACCAAGACTCCAACTCACTTCTCTTCTCTTTCCTTCATTCTTGCTGTATTTGGAAAACAGGCTACTGAAGAAGTTACCACAGCAACAAGCCACATGTACTAAAGGGCCTTCCTTTCCAAGGCTGAGGCCAGAAGATACCACCAGGACTAAGGTAACAGTTTTGATTAAGAGTGTCCACTTCCCCAAGTAGCCTCTTATAATAAAGCCACTTAAGATGGTCTTTATCTGAAAGACAGAAAGGAGGAAAGGTTGAAAAATAAGGTAATAAAATTCCAAGATAAGGAAAAAAAACAATTTGAACTTACCACAGAAACGTGTTTGCTTTTTGGAATCATTAAATCAGACAGTAAATATGGGATTGGACACACAGAAATTGCTTACATCATTTAAAAAATACAGTTTTTCTTTACATAGCAGTTTTTATATATCACAATAAACAATGAATGTTAAAATCTATGCTGCTTCTTATCTTTATTTTATGTTGTATAATACTGTATAATATTAAAATACAAATATAATGATAGGGATAGGAATTGGACCTGCCTATGATTTCTTTGACACCAGGAATGACCTTTATCCATGTAGGTCTGCACCTTTACTGAAAATTATAGTCTCAGAGAATTGCTTAGGGCAAGAAGAAAGTAAATATTTGAACATGGTTAGTACCTCTCAGAGGTGTGGCTTGAACCCAGGCCTTTGTAGCTTTGAGGCCAGCTCCCTATCTATTACTCCATGTTACTTAATATAACAAAATTAAAATCTAAATGTAATAACAGTAAAATCAATACTCACTCATATCACCATTAATGTAATTTCTAGGACATGACTGTTTTAAACATTGTGGACCTATATAATTATATTTTTCTTGTCAATAAAATGCCCTCATGGCAACTCTATGTGGGATATAGAAATATCTCAATGTTTTGTATCAACAACCCTAACCCTGGCAAAATCTTATTGAATAAGGCTTTGATGGTGGGCAGTAGATTCTTCTAATTTCATTGTTTTGACATGCTGACCCCAGTTACTAAGGGCAAAGTCATAAGCTCTTTCCTTTAAATTCAACATATGTCTTTCCTTTGCACATTTAGTAGGATTTCAACTGGAACTAAAATAATACTACTCTAGGGGATGGGCTTTACATATTGAAGTACTCAGTCTCCAAACTTAATTATCTTTGACTATAGTCACTAAAAATGATAAAATGAACTTTTTTGATAATTGCCATATGTATGTAGTACATTACGGTTTGCAAAACACTTTACAGGTTATATCGTTTGATCCTCACAACAACCTTGTGAAGTAAGTACTATTATTATTTCCATTTTACTAATGAGAAAACTAAGGCTGTGAGAAATCAAATGACTTGCCCAGAGTCTTATAGGTAGTATTTATGTCAGGCATTCCTGTGTTAAAAATCCAGCAATCTTACCCACTGTACCACGTGGCTGTCTCTGTGTCAATGTCCTCCTCATCTATTCGCTGAGATAAACAAGTTTACATGGAGTAAATTTCCTTGAATACTAGATATTCTGCCTAATAATTTAAAGGCTAACTCTTTCACATTAAAATATCAATTTAGCCCATGAGTCAATGTGGACCCACATATGGTCAACAATTTTGTAAAAAGTTAATGTAGAGCTTCATCATCACTGTCTGGAGCTATTTATATTTACATAATGTAAACAAAATGTCTTTTGGACTCTCAGCTCCATCATTTTTCTTCTTTCCTAAGCCTCTTGCCACTATTGGAGTAAGTGAAGTTAAAAAGGATCACCATAAATTCATGCTCTCTAAGCTCACCACTATATACTAACACTTTTTATTCAATGATTAACACTCTGGCTTAGTCCCCATGGTGGCCATCCCAAACCTTTTCCCCCTTCTTAAGACCCCAATTCCATCCCACCCCAACCCCAACATCTGACCATCTACTTTCCTGAGAAGACTGAGTACATTGATGGCGAATTCTGTCATCTATTTGTTTACACTCTACGATTTCCCTGTGCCATTAAGTACCTTCTCCTTCTTCCATCCTGTTAGAGGATGAGATGGCCTTCCTCCTTGTGAAGGCAAAATCTTCCAGTTAGGCCCTTGATCTCATTCTCTTCCCATCTTCTACAAAAAAACTGGCTTCAATACATCTCCCTCTTATATCCAAGATCTTCCTCTCTCTTCCTCTCCCCTGAACAAACATCAGGTCTCCCTTAATTCCTCCTCCTCCACCAAAAAAATTCCCTTTCCCTCAAGCTACTATCTTAAATATCTCCTCCCTTCTCTGCTAAACACCTAGGAAAAAAAAAACATTCATCCATGTCTCATTACCCTGCAGTTTGCCTTCTATCTCCATCACTATACTGAAACAGCTCTTTCCCAAGCCACCAACAACCTAATTCCCAAATTTCATGGCCAGTTATTTGCAGTCTTCATCCTACTTTGGAAAGCAGTATAAATGCAATGGAAAGAGGACTCAAGTTGGAGTACCAAGTGGCCTTTGGCAAGTCATTTAACCTCTCGGAGACTCAGTTTACTCGCTTGTAAAATGAAGGAACTGAACTTCCTTCAAGGCCCTTTCCATCATTAAATCCTGCAGACTTTCTTAATAAATACTTGTTTCCCTGCAGACTTTCACGATAGTGACCAACCCTCCTCTGTGACATTGCCACCTCCTTTGTCTCAGTCCAATCTCACACTCTGCTGGTTCTCCTCTCATCTGTCCTACTGCTCACCCTCCAACATCGGTTTGAATTACTCTTCCCGACTTCCTGAGTGAGTGTCCCACAGGGATCTGTCCCAAGTTCTTTTCTCTCTTCTCTTTCCACTCCCCTGGTGATCTTTTCTACTCCCATGTTTTCAATTGGTATTTCTACACAGATGACTCCCAAATTAAATATGTTCAATCTTAATCTGTTTTTTTAACTCCAGTCCCACATCACCAATGGCTAGACCTAAAAGTCCTGTCAGCATTTCAAACAGGAGTCCAAGGCTGGACTCATCTTTTTCCCCCCAGACTCATCCTTCCTCCTAACTTCTCTCCTTGTGCTGACAGTACCACTATCACATCTCTTTATCTCTTCTCTTTTCCTTATCCTCACAGTCCTTTCTAAAATATCTCTCACCATCTCCCTCTTCCTTTCCACTTAAATTGACACCACCCCGGTTCAAGCCTTTATTATCCCTTGCGCCTGAACTATTATAATAGGAGTTTCACTTACAGGTTCTCCCATCTTCAAGCTACCCTCTTGCACAGTGGACAAAATAATTGTCCTAATCTGACCATGTCACTCCCCTATTTTCCACCGAGAGGTGATGCAGTTGTTGAAGTGGGAGGCTTGGAGTCAGAAAGCCTTGAGTTCAGACCTGGCCTCCGACACTTACTAGCTGTGTGACTCCGGACAAGTAACCTTACCCCTGTTAGGGGAAACCTAAGTTTCCTATAAAATAGGAATAATAACAGCACCCACCTGCCAGGGTTGTTGTGAGGATCAAAGGAGATATTTATAAACTGTTTAGCACAGTGCTTGGCACATCCTAAGTGCTTAATAAATACTTGTTTTCTCCCTCCCTTCCTTCCTTCTTTCTTTCCTTCCTGCCTTTCTCCCTACCTTCTTCCCTTCCTTCTTTGCTTTCTTCCTGTTTTCAAAAACCTTCAAAGTCCTCCTATTTCCTCTAAGATTAGAAGAAAAAATCAAACCTCCTTAGCCTGCCACTTAAAGCCCTAAAAAACCTGACTCCAAATAACCTTTCCAGCTTTATTCGACACTCTTACCCCCCCATACATGCTATGTGGTAGCCAAACTGAACTATACCAGCTCCTACCTCCATACAATTGTGCAGGTCATTTCCCCATGTATAAAATGCATGCCTATCTACTGAAATCCTTCCCCTCCTTATAATACACCTTGGATGCCATCTTCTCCATAAAGCCTTCCCCAATTCCCCTAGTAATCTCTTTCTCCTCCAATTTCCATCAAAAACTCTGGATATGTCCTTTTTCACATCACATTCCAATTAATGCCATACTTGTCTATGCATAGTATATCCTAATTAGTCCGTAAGCTCCTTGGATACAAGGATTATTTTTTTAATCTTTCTATTTCCACAGTTGAAACCGATCAAGTATATACAGAGAAAGTCCATGCTGGATGTATCTCAATTTTGATGGTATTGAGGGATTTACTCTCAAACTACCTGAAAGAAGGGATGAGACCAAATAAATTTAAATGAATCAGTTGGAATTACCATATTGCCATAAGAACATCAAGAACTACTGACCATATGCTTACTTTCTAATCTGCACAAAGTCCTTGTAAGAAATATCTCATAACACATCTACATGGTATCCTCGATAAAAATATGAAAGAACAAACAGGTTTTCACAGTATTCTCCAGCAGACATGGTTATAATCAAACAAATGACTGAAAGGTACAAATGACATAAGATTCCTACTGAGTTTTCTGACTATAAAAATAATTGATTCGCGATAGCAAAATGTAGCCTCAAAGACTCTCCTCCAAAGATCTCTTCGGGGCAGCTAGGTGGTACAGTGGATAGAGCACCAGCCCTGGAGTCAGGAGGACCTGAGTTCAAATCCTGTCTCAGACCAGATACTTGACACTTACCAGCTGTGTGACCCTGGGCAAGTCATTTAACTCTAATTGTCTCGCCAAAAAACAAAAACAAAAAACAAAAAACAAAGATCTCTTCCATTAACATGCTCAGATAAATGGAACCACAGGTATAAATTTGTTCTATGGACTTTTGATTATATCAATTCAAGAATAAAACAGTGGCATATGTCCTCCCTACCCCCCTACTAGCTCCTAAAATTATCTTGCATTTTACATACACTTTGTATATGTTCTATATCTATAGCTATATACACAAACACATAGATGTATATCTGTATATGTGCATGTATATTCACATATATGTGTATATACAATGATCCCTTCCACATCGTGGGGGTTGAGGCATAGCACCCCTGTGATCTGGAAAAGCCATATAAAACTTTTTGGCCCTCCCTTCATACCAGAGAAGAAGTCTGAATTTTTTCTTTTTCTTTCATGAATGTTTACAGCATCTTAAAAAATAAAATATTTTGATATTATACAAGACTATGCACATACTTTATGCATTTCTGAGTTTCTAAACTTTTTCTATGTCGTCTGCTAGCCTCCACGTGTTGTCTGCGGCTTCCACAAAACTCCCCAAAATTTCCCAC